AGCTAAGAAAATGTTTATCTCCCTGAGCTTGGCCTTCATAATTCCATTCCATCACATCAGATCCTAAATATATTCTCTCTCTGCAAATGTTCTGTCTATAATCCCGTTTGCAAAGGGCTTTCATAAAATCTTTCCCTCTTCCATTAACCTTGCATCTATGAGATCTCTTTCATATTTGATCTTGGTGCCCATGATAGTTTGTTTAAAGATCATTAGGATCTTTTCCTCTTGACATTTGGGAATACTTTTTCTGCTTCAGTTTTTTTCCCATAGCTCTTCAGGTCACTTTTTAAAATGTGTGCTGAATTTGTTCCTGCAGGTCAAATCTTGGTGACACATTTCTTTAATCTTGATCCATATCTTTGACACTAACAATTTATAATCTTCCACAATTTGCACATGGGACAGGCTTGGCTGCCTGGATTGGCCTTCTCTATCTTCTTTTGCTGATTATGTAATCTATTTGAGTCTGATGCCTGTGTGTAGACTCTGCATTTATGTTGCTTAAACCAGATATTAGCAATAAACAAAAATGTTACAAAAATCTATTTGTAACTCTACAAAACTTGTTTAAATGCTTTAGCTCTATCCATACAGTTTGCTTGGTAATAATATGGAAATTGTTTTCCATTGCCTTCTGGGTTTGATTTTGAGTTTCTCCAAGGGAGAAGCTGCCTTGCCTCTTATCTTCAGAACGCCACCTACTCTTACTCTCACGGTGGATTGCTCTTAGCTTCACTCCTTTCTCTTTAAACATACTGTCAAGGGTGAGCTTACCAGGAACTCCTGTTCTAAGAGTCACTGAAGTTACTGAGCCTTCCTACTATCCCAAGATATAATGTTTGTGAGGAAAAAGTCAGAAGTAGTTGCTCTCTCGTTCTTTGGAAAATGGAAGTGCAATTCTGCTTGCATTAGGAATCTCTGAATCAAGTCCACCATATTTGAATGTATTCCACAAGATCTAGAATCATAGATGACTTTTGGGATTCAGACATTATTTGCCTTGCTTTTATGAGGTTTCTGATAGAATTCAGTCTTGTGAGACAGCTTTTTCAGCTCTTTAGCCTTGTCTTGGTATTATCCAGTGGAAACCATCTGCATCTTTTCAGTGACAGTGGGAATGTAGGATTGAAAGTTGCATGTACAGTGGATTATTGCAAAGAAAACGAGAATTTTTCTTTTCTCTTTCTAATGTATTTCCTCCTGGACAACATTTCTTTTAACTAAGGGAAAATAAATTACTCTGGGGAGGTGATTACAATAGGGAGGGGTCAGGGAATATAGCGCTTCTGCCTATTGATTGTTGTATCTTGCTGAATAAATTATGTGGGCTTCTACTAGCCTTCTACTTCTTTGATTCTGAAATTTTGTTCCAATCTGGCCAGCCATGAGCTTGCATACTGAACTTTGCTGCCAGGAGTCTTATCTGGTGCTATGATTTCCATGCATGCCACCTTGACAGTTTGAGGAACAACGAAGTGTTCTGGCCCTTTGTTGTTTTCGTATAAGGATGGGGTATTTATTGTGTGGTATCACTTTGGTATAGAGGAGGAACATGTTCCTCAGGTTGAATGATACTTCTTCTGAAAGGGAAAAGAAGTAGGCTTCTGTGTCACTAGACTTAAGGGATGAATTTGGGGGGTTACCCATGAAGAAACACACAATGTACAGTATGTGTTCCTCAAACTCCCAAGGTGACGTGTGGAAGTCATGGTGCTTTGGAGTGGATCTGTAATATGCACAGCCTTGGGATGCTTCTTCTCCTAAGTATGCCTAAGAAATGGAAGGTTTTGAGCAACTAGTTGAGCACCATATTATATATTTTTCCTTTGGTCCAAAGTTGTTGCCATTCTGGAGGTCCCAGGAGTGATGGAGAATCCAAAATAAAGGATATGAATTAATAAGAGGCACTGGTATCTGAGTACTAAGTCCCCTTGATGGGATATCTTCTAAAAAAGTATCTCTGGCTATGCCTCATGGGGTTTCAAATACCCAGTGTCCTAATTGGTGCCTCTCCCAAAGCAGTTCTGAAGAGAGATAGATTTAATAAGTCCTCTGTAAAACCTGTGGTCACTGACTGCTCATTGCTAGTGCTACAGCTTTATATGGTATTTTGTAGCTTCAGTGTCCTTGCCCAATGTGAATGGGACACCCTCGAGTCTAGGCATGTCCATCTCTATAACGGCTTCAGTATGAATGGCATGTTGAGCTGGTTCCTAAGAAATGACTCCCCCCCCAGTGAAGATTTCCTAGTCAAACGTGAATTCCAATTTTGTTTTGGTTTTATGCTGCACATTATTGTCACCCCCCATTGATTTTTCCAAGGAGCCTAAGGACAGTACTTAGGCACAATTTCTAATGAGATCTAGAAAATAAAAATGATTCTGTGCTGTCATTCTGTAAGGCAAGGATTATGTGTGTCTACCCCAGAAAGAGGTTTCCTGCAATTGGAAGATGGTATTCGATTTTGTTGTAATTGGTAGCTTAGATTTAAATAACAGTACAATGCCCAAACCATATCTTCCTTCTGAAATACACTTTGCGGAACTCTCTGAAGTATAAAAATTAGCTGTGCTTTGATGTGGTCAGGGGTTCATTTATTCATTTCTGTTTATTTTTGCCTTGGATATTGCATGTATTTGGATTTGCAAATTATAAGGTACAATTTGATATATGAGATTAAAAGCTAACATTTAGTCTTAAAAAGGATATAATGTCTACTCTAAAAAAGCATTATGTTTTCCTTCTCACAAGAAAAACAGTTTCTGTTATGTAATCTGATTTTAGAAATGTATAAATAGAAGTTTTGTTTTTTCAGTTATAAATGACTGAAAAAAATTTATGTAGAATGCTGTCAGCAATTTTAAATTAAAGAAAGTGTTTAGTTTTTACTTTAAAAACCTACTGACCCTATGTGAAGTTTGACTATTGGAGACTATGCAAAGATATCCATATTGCTTTCTTGGCAACAATGCAGAAGTGATTTGCCACTGTTTCCTTCTGTAACTTTTTTTTCACTTCCCAATCTATCTATTTCCTGATAGTCTCCCAGGTAACCCTACTTAGCTTTTCATTCTTACAAATGAATTCACTTATACTTGTGTGTATCTCTAATCCAGGGTTTCTCAACCTTGGCAACTTTAAGACATGTGGATTTCAACTCCCAGAATTCCCCAACCTATCACCATTCATATATATTTTCCAAATGTATTTACACTATATGTACATATCAGTTTTATATTTGTTTAACTCTCATAAAGTATCAAAGGAATTATAGCTCAAGGAGTATACAGTACTAAAATCTTTATGTTGGAGATCTCCCACCATTCTTCTCTCTCATAATTCCCTGGAAGATAGATCAATTTTTCCAATTTAAAGTTGTAAGTACGCTCATACAGTCTTTTTGGATTCAGGGGTGCCAAAAGTTAACTATTATAATGATTTGTTTTCTTTTCTTTCGAACAGGAATTGATAAATGATCCTTTGTACATTGGTCTGAAACATAAACGAATCCGAGGCCAGGCTTATGATGATCTTCTAGATGAATTTATGGAAGCTGCAGTTTCCCAGTAAGTGGTTATATTTCTGCAGTTTACACCATTGGATGTTTCAGGATTTTACTTTCTTGAGGGCAGAAAGGACAACTTAACTTAGAAGTTAAGATGCATGCTTTTTGCAGACTTAGAAATACAGTGGTACCTCGGGATACGAACGCCTCTACTAACGAACTTTTCGGGTTACGACCAGCTCCAGCCGCAAAAATTT